AAGAGGAGGAGGCGGAGAAATAGAAATGACGAGAGATCCAAACAAATTTTTAACGAGGAATACGACGATATAAAAGTTCCTTTGTCCTCGCATGCAATTAGCGTGCAGGAAAGCGGGACGATTAAATGTTTCGTCTCTGATCTTCGAAGCGTGCGAACATCTAGAAAATTTTACACAGATTAAGATACACGCACGAATAGATTTTTACTTTAATTTGTTTTTCTTGTTTTTATTTTTAATTTATTTACAAGATGTTTAATATTGATTGATAGATATTAAGTGGAATATATTATCAATTTATATTGTTGTTATAACTTTTTAATGAAGCATTTAAGTGCACGCATTTATATAATATTTTTTTTCTTATTATCATTTGTAGATTTTATTGATAAAATTTCATGGAAAAAATTGGAACATTCTGTGTATTCTAAATAATAAAATTACATATAGTTTCATTATTAATATTTTTATATAATAAAACAAAAAAGATATTTATGATATATAAATATTTCGTTATTTATTATAATATTTTTTGTATCATATAATAATTAAGATATTTGAAACTCAAATTACTGTGAGGATAATAGAAAATTCTAGCAGTGCTTTTTGTCTTGTAGAAAGGGAAAGAAACTTTTTTCTTAAATCATCTTTGGTTTAGAAACCATCCTTTCTTAAAACTATAGTCAGGGAAACAAAACTGTTTTCTATTGATCGTAGATGTACTTAGATTTTTTGTATATATACTAAAAAATAAATGAACGTGGTATACTTTGCTTGGTACTCTTTTGATGACCATAGGATATTACAAAGATAACTTAGTAAAGCTTTGTTGGCTATCGTTCAGATATTATCTTCGACTACAGGCAGCTCGGCAGATTTCCCAATATTATATGCACAGTTGTAATCCCAAAAATAGAAAATATGCACTTTTCTTAGTTTACGAACTCATCTTAAGTGAAGGATCATCATCTTCTGGAAACCAAATATTTATTATTTACAAAGCAGATGAAGATAGATTATCAAACAAAGAGAATCCTAAAAATAGTCAAGGTTTGAATGAAACATCTGTGCTTCAACAATTATTATTGAATAAAACATATATTAATTATTATTGCAAGCTTTTTTAAATATTTACCGTTATCGGGCGTCAGATATGCGACCAATTACAACGATATTTTGGCGTTTTACTCGTCTTGTTACATGAAATGACAATCGACATACATGTCAATGCTAAACGAGGAGATATTATTTGTTCAAACAATTTCTGATGTTACTTCTAACTTTAATAAAACTTACTATAATGTTCATTTTTTAATATTCATTTAAATTCTTAGTAATAAATAAAGATTTATACAAAACTACTGGTTATTGGTTCAGTTATGCTCCTTACTAAACGTATAATTGCATACAAACCAAAATAGCTACAATCAAATCAGAATCGTACTTAAATAGGTGACGACTGATAAGGGTAAAAGAACAAAAGAAAAGTTGTATTTAAAAAAAGTATATATTTAGTATTAGTGTATGAGAATATATGTGTATGTATGTGTGCTTGTTTATGACGAACGGGACCGAAGACAAGTCGATCGTAGGATCCGTTGCTACCTGCGAGGGTGCGGAGTGGGGCTTCGAAAGAAAGGGAAAAATCAAAAATAGAAATGCTACAAAGAAATGACGAAAGATGTAAGAGGGGAATAACAGGTATATATAAGTAACGAAAGGAAAAAACAGGGGTGTATTTTTTGTATTGTACTGTTTTGAGAAATTCAAAAGAGTGTAGGTTTTCCGTGAAAAAGTACGACGAATAACAAAGAGTTAAGATAAAAGTACGACGTGGTTAGAGAGATAATTTTGTTTAAGAAATAAAACGTTGAAAGTAACATAAAACACGACGATTATTAATTAGTAATTTGAACAATTATAGACACTTACAATTTTATCCTATCAAATTATTAGGTCTACCGGAAAGTTCTGTCCATTTTTAGAATAAAACAAAAGTAGTAAACTATCATATCTCTTTAATTGACTAATATTTATGAATTACCATTATTTAAAATTTTTTATCATAGTGTGATGACAATTTGTATATTGCATTTTTAAAAAATGTTTTATCCCTAGAGACGAAAAATTTAGCCGGTGTTTGTCAAAATGGACAGAACTTTCCGGTAGACCTAACATAACCTTAAATAAACATTATTACAAATATTAAACAAATAATTAATACTAAACCTTACAATAGAAATAACAATTAAAAAATAATTTTTACATCAATAGAAAATATTTTATTGGAAAATGTTAACAAAAACTATAACCAAAAGATCATATTCTTGAAATTATACTTCTTTTAGTGTGTTAAGGAAAAAATAATGAGACTGAATTTTCATGTTGCGCGCGCACAGCGACATGAAATTAACAGAATGAAGTTAATCGATATTCATTCGATATATTCGATATATCTCTTTTATTCTGTATTTCTATGTACAGAACACGTGTCTTATATCGATACAAATAAAAATTATTTTTGTATTTCTTTTTTATAAATTAAAGTTTATTTCAAACTTTGAAAATAAAGGTCTCATAGATATTTCTTTAAACTTTTTTCTTTGATTCTATCCAATCTATACAAAAGTTTATGATTCTATAGTGTAGTAGTAATAACACGAAACAATTAGATATTAATGATATCATAAAAGTTATCTTAACAGTTCATTAAAGTTAAAGTATACATTAAATACACATTGAAATTCCTAATAATGCATAAACTTAAGAACATAATGAAATATCTTTAACAAGTGCATAATTGGTATCGTAATATTTATAAATTTTCTAATATTAGTTTACTTATCCACTATATTTAGATAAAGTAGTTATATTAAAACGGAACACCTGGTACGTATATTCCCTAGTAAAGTTTAAAATCATCATCGTAGGATTCACAAAAGACAAGGACGACAAGTTTTACTGTCACATCGAACTTTCTGAGGTATCACTCACTCACTCACTCACTCACTCATTCACTTTCTCACTCTCTCTCTCTTTCCATCGTGTTTCCTATGCCTCCTATCTCTTTGACGTCAACACAGTAATTTCCAATTCGTTCGATCGTCGTTCTAATTAAGGTTACACGTTATCCGTGAAAGCTTTGTGAAAGCACAGCCGCGCCGCGGCTAGAAAAGCGGTAGCGATGTCGTCGCCATCGCGATCACACAACTAAGTAACTAACTAACTAAATACAAAAGTTTATCTGAGTAACGAGAGAAAGAGAGAGAGAGAGAGAGAGAGAAGGATAATACAAAAAATCGATAGAAAACTTTCATACATTTTTTTTCGTCGATAAATCACCGACAATACGAGTAATGTGTGACCTTGCTTTTGAAAAGCAATGTCAGAGAAATTCAATATATGTTCAAACATGTGCTGTGTGTTTTCTATATGCTGTGTGTATGTATGTATGTGTGTAGAATTAAACGGGTCGTATCGATATCGAGGAGATACGACAAGGTTGAAGAGAAAGATGATAATGATGACGATGAAGATGTGAAGGAGAAGAGGAAGAACTTTTGCGCGACGCATAACTTCTAGATGATGGCATTGTATGTTAGGGAAACCATGCGAACATCTAATTAGTAATCTAGGTTGTTCTTGTCTCTAGTTCTCGTCATCATTATAGGCAACGCCTTTTAACTTTGTTGATTCAAATTACGGATTAAATTAATTGATTCGATTTATGTTAACGTACAAGCTCATGTGTTTACTTTCTAGTATTTAAATTCTTTTTTTTTCCTTTTCTTTTTGCTCTTTTTTTCATCACGAGTTTAACAGAAATTATTTATTCTAGAGCTTACGAGAGTGGACCTAAAGTTTCTAGGTTGGTTAAAAGTTTTTGCGTTATTTTGAAAAGCTATTACTCTTTCTGCAGCCTTTCGTTTAGGATTAAAAAAAAACTAAAATAAAAAAAACTTTTCAAGCTTAAACGGAACAGTATTTTAACTTTATCCTCTTATTTGATTTCCCGAATATTTAATCATTGTCAATAATACATACGTCATTAAGGATTATTAAATACATAATATCCATAATTACAAGTGAAATAGAAAGAAGTGAGAGTTGACCCATTTTATTGTCGATTAAAAATGTCAACCTAATTTCTAATAAAATAACTACAAATTATTAAGTTAAATCTCTAATCAAAGTACACCTATCCCCTGATTTACACTAAAGATAGGTTTCTTAGAAAACCGTGTAAATCTAAGTCGTGGATTTTTACACGCTTTCATGTAAATCGAAAATAAACTAAAATGTTCATAATTCAGTCATTTATTTCAATGAAAAATAAAACTAAATATGTCTTAAAAAACATAAAAATAAGAGTCTATTCATAAAATGATAAAAATATAAAGGTGTATGCATGTAACTCATTTTACATATAGAAACAAGAAGTATAAATTACAAAATTTAATCAAAAATTTAATTACTGTTATATACATCACTTTCGTAGACTATTTATTTTTTATTCCTAGTTAGTATGATGTTACTTTTATCACTCAAAAGTACTTGATGCGATTCAAATTCAAAGTTAGATGAATTAGAAACAATTTTAGATCGACAAGACTTGGTAATGAAATACATAATTACCAATTGTGTTTGATTTTTGATAAAATTTTTATAAACCTCCTCGTATTGAATTAAGCATTTATTAATATCTCGCTGAAATATTAGAGTTCGTTCAACATTCGGGTCATTTTGTAAAAAATGATTATTCAATTTTCGTCCTAATTCAAGTCCTTTATGGATGATTTTTTCTGTCAACGCAACTGGTTCAGACTCCTCGATCTGGGACGGGGGCAAATTTAAAAACTGTGTAAAAGTGAAATCGTGTAAATAAAAATAGGTGAATTTTGTTTCTTTAGTTATGTTTTTTATCCAACATATTTGAATTTTGCGTAATAATTGTTGAAAGTATTGTTACTTAAATGTACGTTTTCTTTTGATGTTTGCAGGATGCAGAAAGAGAGAAAAAGAGAGGCACATTGGCCAGTTCATCGATCTGATGCATCGTTAATGAATAGAAACCTGAACTGTTCTATAATAATGGCCGAGAGGAACTCATAGAGGTTCCTTTCTTCTACTTAAGACTCTCAAAAGAAGAAGAAAAGTAAGAGAGATAGAAGAATTTGATAAAATAAGAAGATGGAACTGTATAAAGAGCAACAGCAATGGCAGCAAAGACTGCAGAGGCATTGTCACCAGCGACAGCTGGTAATAGAGACAAAGTTCGTTGACGTAAAGCCGATGAAGTATCGCGTCATTCGTGCGGGAATTTTTCTGTGATCGGACTGGTAGACCTGTGACTGGAAAGAAAAAAAAAGGAAGAAAGAGTTTGAGATAAAAATAGATAAGAAATAAATCGCAGAGTTAGAAAAAACGACTAGAACGATGCATCACAGTGGAGGTGTTGGTTACGGCAGTGGCCCTCAAGAACGAGTACATCAGGTGCCTCGTACAGCTACCCAAACCGACAAATATCCCTTTGAGGGCTATCAAGGTCCTATACCCGATTGTTGTGCCGCTGCTGCGGCTGTCCAGGATCCCTATCCTAGACCGCCAAGTGGATACGATGGCAGGTGCTACGATGAGTATCATCGTACGACACCTTATCAGGATGATTCTTACTCTCAGGTAAGTTTTATTTTTCCTCCATTTCTTTCAGCTTTTATTTTTTATTCTACCGATGTAACACACTAATACGGATTTTATTAATTTTTTATATACTTCAAATTAATCCCATTTTGCCAGTCAAATTTATCTTATAGCGAATGTAATGAAATACACCCTTTTGCAAATCAAGTTTGTTAATAAATCTTTTTTTAAAGACATGCTGATAAAAATAAAAATGATTAAATAATAAATTATTATTCTTTAATAAATTACTACTATTGTAACATAAATTATAAGATTGAAATCGAATGGAAGTTTCGTATCTAATGAAAGTTTTTTGTTATTCCTTGTTGTTTTTCTAAATGAAGAAGTTACGTGAGATGAATATTTATTAGTATTTTATAATTTAATTATAATCTGTTAATGATATTGAACATTAGTTGCTGATTAATGTAAAAGAAACGATATTTTAAAATGATTTATGTTAAGATGTATCCTGATACTTTCAAGCTAGTTTGACATGGTTTAGTGTACATCATTTTCAGAATTTGTTCTGACCTTTTGCCTTACAACAGCTAACATAATATGTTAGCTCTACGTCGCGATAAGTGTCATCATTTTTAACTTCAAAAATCCCTTTACTATAGCTGACAATAACTTTTCGATTTTCACCTGTTGCGTCAAAATTTTTCTAGCTTTTGTTAAATTAATATTTTTGGAGTCTGTAAAATAAATATAAGATGATATATAGAATAATACAAAAATTGAATATTTTTTTAATGCATAACTCAGAAAGGAATTGCGTTCGAGAATAATACGATTTTTTTGTATTCAGAATTCAATGCGTTTAAATATTTCTGAATTGTCAAATTTGAACAATTGATATTTGTTTGTAATATAAAATTTGTAAACCAATATTAGAATTATTAAAATTGGAAATTAATATTAATTTTATTGCAATAAAACATTGTATTGTTAGAGAAATATAATTCTACTTAAATGAGATCAGAAACTCGCTTCACTTATGGAAGAAATAATACGAATACAATAAATATTTTTATATAGATAGTACTTAAGTAGTATTTGTGATTATTTTGGCCAAGTAAACTCGTTGAGTAATTAAAATTACAATAATAGTAAAAATAAAATAATTTATATTTATTAACACGCTAAAAGGTTAATTCCTCAAATTACTTCGTTCCTATATATTTACTTAAATTTATTCGTGAGGTATATTTCGTTCAGTTATTCATTTTTTCACACTTCGATCCCGTCATAGAACTAAAAAGTTCTTTTATACCCGGCGGACACGCTTTTCGTTCCCATGAAAAGGGAAACGAGGTTTCTTTTCACAAAAAGTCACAATGGAAAGTGGAAAAGCGGCCCATTGGTCACGAGCATACTCCTTCTCTGCATTAGTATAAAAAAATTAGTTTAAACGAGAAAAGATTATAACACTATTGATTCGAACTATTCTGTCACCAAGTAGAATACTCTTCCCAAGATTTTATGACCTGTTCCTAGAATGCAGCTTAAGAGGGTCTAAACGATCTTTTGTTGTCCAGATCTCTACTGCGATATACGTCCTATGTAAACAAACCGGAACCTTAAAGGTAACTATCCTAACACTGTCATGTTGACAGAAACAAACTTATTTTTAAATCCGTATCTTAGGATGACAATATAAACGCAACAGTAATAGATTTCATTCTTCTTTACACACTTTTCAGACGATTAGGTATATCTTACAAAATCAATTTTTTTTATCAGTTATGTGAAATTGTACTTCTTTTAATATATTCTTTTACAATAAACTTTATATACATTTAAAAGCTTAATTATCATAACGATGTTTTTGCGTATACAAATTTTGAGATATTTTATTAGAAGGATGATATTTGTAAAAATTTAAAATTTTTAAAAAGTTTTAATTGATTGTGGGGTTATCATAGTATACAATTTATCAAGTATGTGTCAATTTTTTTGAAGAAAATTCAAAGAACATTTTAATACTTCATCAATGTATCTACATATATAAAAATTTCAGAATTTATTATTTAGAGGTTATCTAGGCCTCTACGTTTTGTAAGTATTCAATAGATGGTGCCGTATTTCAATTCAATTACTTCAATTTATTTCACGTTACACGTTTTTTCTCAAATTTACATACGGCATAACCTTGCTTTTCCTATTTTTCTTGTATTATTATATCTTCATATATTATTAATAAACAACTTTGTAAATAATTCATGTAATATACTATATTCAAATAAACTACGCTCAAGTATGAGATGAATAAAATATAAAATTAAAAATTTTATGTTATTTTGTGCATAATTTCAACTCTCCGAAGTTATAAGTGAATATTAATTTGACTGCATTGAATAGTTTAATATTATATTAAATCAACGTATTATAACAAAGCCACAGTAACGCGTGGAGCCAAGGTACCTAGTATTATTATAAATAAATTCATCGGATCATCTTTTCAGAGATAAGCCAATATTTCATATTAGAATTTCAATGTAATGCTTCCATGAATGGTTATGTAAACGTTAGCCATTTTTAATGAACACAGACAAGATCTATAGTAGTCTTTAATGATAGTGCCGCGAGCATCAAGACGAAATGTATTTAACGTTAAAAGAGAGAAAGAGAGAGAGAGAGAATGTAATGGCCATCATCGCGAGGCTACCACCATCGGGGCTAGCGTTAACTTTCTTAAAAAAAAAAAAAATGCCAGTTTACACGGAGCGAGCTTTTCAGCTTTTGCTTAAAGTGTACGCGTTAAAACGTGCTGCACGAAAAAGAAAGTCGGTCTCTCGCTTGTTTGCCCGAGCCTTTTCACGTTCAGGCTCAAAAGCGTACGAGAACGTTATATCATATAGTAGACGTTGTTGACGAGCTCAATCTACTTGAACGAACAAATATAATATAATTGTTTAATAACGATAATAATCGGACTAATTTTTAAACGATTGATTGTATCTTGTAATGGGTATGAGACTTTCTTTTTACAAAAAATTACATCGAATGAAATTCCTTTACTTTTGTAAAAAGATTTTAAAAAAGTAGAACCGTAAGTGTAGGAGGAGGTGGGAGAGAGTGGGGGTAAAAAGATAGATAGAGATAAGTATAGAGAGAAAAGGCTAGTATTTCGTTTTAACTAGTTACAGAATGAGAAAAACAAAATTAAAAAAAGCCAAGTGTACCTTGTTAAAAGCTAGCAAGTCTCTAGGAAAGTTAGGGATTTCAGCGGGAAACTACTCTACCGAAATCTTTGCCATAGAAACCTTCGTTTCTCTCCTTCTCTTCCTCTCTCAAACTTATCTTGTTTCTCTCTCTTTAATTTTTCTTTTTCTTCATTTTCTTTTATCGTTTTGTTCTTCCCTACATGACCTCACAGTCCAACGTACGAAACGTTATTCTTTAGAAAGTGCTCGAGAAAGTAATTATTTAAAGTTTGGTCGCGCGTATTGTAAGATATTTAAGACCGTGTACGGTTTTCCTTTCTTTCTCTTTTTCCTCATCGTCGATAACTTTGAAGGAAGTTCCTGGCCCCGAAGTCTGAGTTTGGGGGTTGAAAAGGGCGGAAGGGTGGTTACGTCGAACTCGAGTTCAGAAGAAACCGGATAAGTTTTACGAAACCCCGATAATTGTGAAGAAAATTTTCACGTTAAAAAGATTCTCTCTTTCCCACCTTCCACCTTCTCCTCTTTCGCCCCCTCCGTCCTCATCCCAATCCTCCCACACTTTTTCTCGTTTCTCTCTTCTCAATAACTCGATCGAAATCTGTAGAATAATTGAGGGTTTGAAAGGGAAACAAAAAAAAAAGAAAAAATGGGGATATAAAAGAAGGAAATGAAAAAAAAGGAAAAAAAAGAAGAAAAGAGTTAGGAAAAATAAAAATAGTGAAAATTGCCGCGCTATTCGAATGTTACTCGAATCGAAAAGAGGTACTCGAGTGGTGCGGATACTCGTGCAGTGATTGAAACGAACTTGGATAAGCAGATTTACAGGATCCATCGATCTGTAACATCGTATCCGCATGTATACGTATGATATATCGTTATCGAAAGAAAAAAAGAGAAGAAAAAAATAGCCATGCACGAGAGAGAGAGAGAAAGATAGATAGAGAGAGAGAGAGAGAGGGAGAAAGAGAAAGAGATAGAATGAGAATGAGGGAACGAACGAGAGTGATAGAAATATTTGGCGAGGGACGTAAAAGCTCGAAGGTACTTCTCGAAACAACTCGAATTCTCTCAATGGCATACCAGCAACCAAGCGAACAAGTTCCCATCGATGATATAAACGAGAACAGAAAGTGCGTGTAACTTTTCGCCTTGTCCAAAATGATAGATGCTTTCCGATTGATTCTACTATTCGTTAAAATCTGATCGAAACGTTTCGGACGTTTGACTTAACGCGAATAAATGAACACGAAAGTTTGTATCAAATCTGATTTTTACGTATGCTTGGCTAAGGGTTATAAAGAAGGATGAAGAAAAACAGAAAAAGAAGAAATAAAGAGTGTAATTAAGATTTGGCACGATTAGTCCTTACAAGAAAAAAAAGAAAATGAACTGAACGAGTCATCGAGGAATAATATATCGTTGGAATAAAATAGTGTTGTCTTGATTGACGTTAATATTATTTTGTTAAAATTCGACAGTAATGTTTGTGGAATGATATGTTATATTTGAATCTTTTCGAATATCATATATCTCAAATATATTTAAAGATAAAAGATGATTTAATGTTTTTTTCTTTTTCTCTAACTATACATCGGAAATAACCATTATTAGTGCAGCCAAATCAAAACATGTTTACTTCTCTGATTGAGTTACTAAATTTTTGTTCAATTTATTATTGATATTAACTATAATTAGAAAAAACTAAACGTCCACATATGTGGCTAAGGGCGTGAAGAGGTTAATTTATTATATTGAAAAATATATTAATATTTCAACACTTTATAGAGATTAAAGTGATACATTTGATTTTTAGAATTTTAAAAAATT